TTAATAAAAACAAAGACAATATAACCACTGTTGTGTAGAAACTTGCTGGAAAGCACCACTCGTTACGAGCGCAACGATCAAATGCCACGGATAACGATGCGGCTCGCGTTGCTCGTCGCACCAGCGGGGCGAGTCATCTGGTTTAGGCTACGCGGCGGATATGCTACCTCGAAAGTCAGCAGACCGCCAATTAAACCCCGCGGTGTATTAGCTAATGTATATATTACACGGTGTCCCGAACCGTCGCGACGACCCGTTGCGACGGCAGCTTTGACTAAGTAAATATTGACATTAATATATCGCGAGAGAGAGATACATATTACTTTGTAACGTTCGGTGTTCATCAGTCAGTCGTCCGGGCCGAAGCGACAGATGGACGGTGGACCGTTCGCCGTTGGAACGGTGCGAAAAAAAAGAGGACATAATCTCGAGACCGGCCGGTCGCTTCGAACGGAACGACGAGGTGTGTATGCTGTGTACGTTTCGTATGAAATAAACCTGAGGTATTCTTTAAGTCTGTAAAGCTTTCGTTACGAATGTTTAAAACTTGCCCGTTTCTCACCACCCTCCCTTGCTTCGCGTCGTCGAAACGTTGCCTTGTAGAAATTTAATACCACCAGCACCGCGCGGTTAATTAATAATAATCACTTATTTTGAATATTAAAAGTATCACAGAGAGTGTTTAAAGTGAGGATACTTTGAATATTTAATATTCAACGTAAGTGATTTGGTCAATATTTTTCCATAAGGGTTGCCTTCCCTCCCCCTCGCTCGTGGAGGGGCTTTTCCTTTCTCGCTTTTGTTCTTTACGCGAGGGTGAGGGCACAATTAGAGAATATTTGGCATACGTGATGGCACAGTTAATAAACTTGTACTTGTTTACATTCGCGAAGTGCCATTCTGCGGATGTCCACCAAAATTCTCTTCAACGCGATACTCCTGTCGAGTGACACTTGATCTTAACACGCGATCTATGTCGTTTTATGTCATCGTGCAGAGTGGGATCGACAATAAATCGTACGAATTTCTGAGAAACCATCAAAAATTTATTGCTGCGTGTGTTCCGTGTTTTGTGTGTCGTGTTTCGGACACGATATATCGCGTAGCAAATTCGTATCGCGCCATGTTAACGGAGTCGGAAGCTTAAACGATCGGCTAAACGGCTGGATTATTACTACCGCGAAATATAACACGATCCAATACGTTATTTGTCGTTTCAACTAACGGTTTTGATTCCCGTTTCAACTTTAATGTTCACTCGATATGGTACATACTTATAGCGTCACGTATGTCTTCGCATCAAAGGGATTGTATTAAAAATATTCATGCGTGATGAATAAAAAAATCCGAAATTATTGTGTTAGTTGTCCTTTCAATTTAATTTTGTACACGGTTATTCGTCTTTTAAAGATTCAGAACATCAGACAGCTACTGAACACACTCCAATCGTAATGTATTGACGTATTCAGCTCGAAAATACCAGACACGAAGCCATACTTGTCGCCAACTGCATGCGTTCGAAAACACGAATGAAAAAAATAACGCGAAAATGCCGAAATTTAAATGATTAGACATCTCAATAAATACTCGAAGAAGAATATTGTATACTGAACGTATAAAATTCTTTAAAAATGATATTTTAAAAAATACTCTACGGATAAGAATCTTATAGAGTTTTAGAAATAATTTCTTTTCGGTGTATATATATTAAAAGTTTCAATGTTACCGCCGCACTTGAACGTTATATGTACAGATTGCATAGAATACAATGACGGTAGAAGTCATATTAATAATTAAGTATTAAGTGATAGTATCACTTTTTAGCAGTTTCCGTTTGCGTATTGTCCTTGGTAAATTCTGTCTATACATATAATAATTTTGACAGTAGTAAGGAACCTACATGGACGGCAATTATTTTCTATGCTATCTGTAATTGTATATGTTGTTCTATTTTGCAAATATACTTTATAACGATTCTCTATATCATTGTGAACACGAGATGTAAAAAATTGACTATAATCAAGATCTCAACAGCACCTTAATTTTCGCATAAATATTATTTTATAATTATTATTTGAGTGCTGTTGTTTCACACACATAAATTCATAAAACGTGATAAGTTTCGATAAACAGATACAATTAGCCATAGTATCTTGTAACATACGAGTTATTCGTCATCAAATTTACTTGGGAAGAAACGAATCTTTTCTGTGCGACGACAACATTGTATTAAATGGCAATCATTACCATTGGTAATTTAAAAAAAAAAACAATGAGTTTTTTCTGAAAAATATGGATACGATGACATTGATAAAAAATCGGGAAATACTGACAATGCGATGCCTACGGTTTTGAACACAAAGGTAATCCGTTACCTTTTTGTGAGAATTATTGATCTCTTTCCGAGTTATACTCTCGAATCATTGAGTTTAAATTAACGCAATTCGTCAGAATTGACACTTATTATGCTAATAAAATCTACACCCCGTATCGTGATTATTAATAAACAACAGTAATATACTAATTCTTAATACATTAAGTTCAATAATAAAAAAACGAGGGGCTACAAGATAATAACACGTAATATACAAGACATAATGTACAAGAATATAATTATATTAATATACAAGATAATTATACTAACGTACGAACAACGATCGGGAAATTGGAAGAAACTTTTAATAGCGACTGCTGCTTTAGTATATACATTGCAACATCTCGCCGATTTTCTTCCGTGAAATACGAAATATTTTGTCATTTATTGCATTAAAATCTTAATTGATCCCTCATATGGCAGCCGTATTGGATTACATTAAAGACAAAAAGTTACGTGATCTTTTTCTTGTGTTATTCAAAATATTTTTGTATAGCTTTCCTCACAGACCAATATTTGTATAGTCAATATTTTTCTCTTTTTCATGATCCTTTTAATCTGTGAAGTTAAGATATTTTGATTAATTAAGAATAGTTAAAATAAATTTGTAAATAACACATATACCTTAATAAATATAAATATATATAAATACGTATGTACAAAAAATAAGTATATAATTATATTTATAAATTTATTTCATTAATACAATTTATCTTCATAAAAAAAATTTATTTTTATGTAAAAAGGACATTTATATATTTTCAAATAAAATCTGAATTTTATTTCTAATGTAACTCAATCGACTACGATGAGAGATCAGGCATCATTAATGTTTTAGGACATAACGCTTACTTGCAAAGTTAGTTTCATCAAATTTGTCAACATATAAAATTTGCAAGTGTCTATTCGTTATCGCTACATTAGAAAAATTATCGAGATCAAACGTTGTATTTCGAAATAATCGATTCGAGTGGATAAATCGTTCCGCGAACGACCCGAAGCGAGAAAGGAGTATAAGAAATGACGTAGATTAGACTATACAAATGTGATGTCATCATTCTTCGCGCTCGCGATGTACCGCCTGTTGCATCAACATATTGGTCAGTATGTCAGATAATTTTATAAATGTAATATCTTTTCTAGCAAGTATTAGATTTATAAAATTAATCGATTGATTACATTTGTAAATCGATCGATTAATTACATTTCATAAATGTAATACCTTCTCTAATAAGCATTACTAGTACTTATAAAATAACTGACATCAATATTTGATGCAACACGCGGTATATGTATGTATATAAGTGTACCTGTGTGTTCAATGAATGCATGTATGTGCTTTGGAGCGAAACCTTCAAATATTCGATCGATTCAACTGCGTAGCCCTACCCCAATACGCGCGTGCAGCTCCTTTGTTGGCGAACACGGTCTTAGGTCGTCAGAAGGCTAACAAGGCTAAGTCCGGTATACGGCGACGCATGCCGTGCAACATATAGTGCCTCTTTAACGCGCGAGAGAGAGGCTTGAACAACAAATTTTTGAATTATTTATCTGGCAGTATAATTGGTGTATAAAATTTTGTTTCTTCTTTTTTTATCGTTTCTTCTCTCATTTCTTTACACGCCTTTGCGCTTTCCTGCTCGATTCGCGGCAGATCCAATAAATTTAGATACAATATCACAATTAGCAGCTCTGTTCCACGCGAGACTTACCAAATCTTGCTTGTCTGCGTTCGTTTAGCATTGAACATCGGTCAGACCGAACATCGATTCCATCGGTCTTCCCTTCGTCCGTCAAATTCGATCGCTCGTTCCCCAGGGATCGGCCGGACGGCGTCCCTGGGGATTAATCTAACGCCTTTAGTTCCATCATTACCGAGAACGCGTTAACGTTTGCGCTCTTAGCGGAAGAAGGAAGATCTATTGCAATGACCTAAGAGACGGTTCGGGAATCAGCACTTCGAAGGACATGCATGCTCGCATCGAGTGCGAGTGCGTATCTCATTCGTACCGAACCAAAAGGTTCTCTTTGTTAGGCGAGTTGGAAGCGAGAGAATGCAACAGTTTGAGGTCGCCTCGCTCCGCACGCCAATTATTCGCTATCTATTTTAATCGAAAAGTCCCTCGTTACGGCTAAGGAACCCGGTCGGAGTTTGCCAAGTGCAAAACACGAACGGGCGGAAATCGTTCAGATAAATCTTACGTCGGTAACTTCCTCTATGAGCACTAGAAAGGTGTTATGCACGATTGTCAACCCATAGAGCTATCCGCCAACCGTAATTATAGAGAGATGTTTCTCTTTAAAACTCGTGCGTACATGCCGTCTCGACGACGGGAAACAGAGAGCAGAGGAAGAGATGCTGCTTTTACGAGCTTTGCATTTTCATAACAAGTCCCGGCATATGCTGGAATAACTCATAGGGTAACACTTTTCGCTACAACCGGTGGTAATTGGCGGTTTCGCGTCTCGTGCTCCGAATGCGATAGCTTTTCTTTCGACGCCGTATCTTCGACGATGATTGGCATTTGGCAGTTGGTGTTAACGTTCAGCGTAGCATTGGCAAACTCTGGGGTCGACTTGACAAGGGTTTCCGCCCACGAACGTACGAACGGGGCGGACGCTTGGCCTATTCGCTGCAGAAACGGGTGCAGGCCTTCTTCCACCTGCACTGAGTGCACCAGAGGTCACGTGAATCCATACCGTAGATCTTGCGACATTTCTTAACATCGCTGCGAGTTCGCCGCGGAGAGGACGGCTTGCCCGTGGACGCTGTCATGTTCTGTTGATGACACGCCTGCAATGGCCGTGGGGACAGTTTGATGTGTTTATTGGGCGTACCCTGAAAGAAAAAGGAGATCAATTTAGTCGCACTGTATTTTCCATAATAGTACTGGTTTACAGTCTGATTACTTACCGGCGATTGTGAAATCGTAAACGTGTTACTCGGTTCTCTGACACCGACCATTACGTTCTCGATAAAGTTACTCGCGATAGGAGTCGCCTCAAGACGAAGCTGCTTTTGATACTCTGGATCCTCGTGCGGCGGTCTTGCCATGTCCCGATGAGACATCGTGGGAGGTGAACTCATGTGATCCACAGCGACTTCCTGATAATAGAATTCCTCCTCGTGATCGTCCTCGCTGTCACATCCCTTGGATTTCTTTGGGCTATAAATAAAAAATTATCTCAATTTGCTTTCAGTCTTTGCTTTTTTACTCTCTGTATCGCACAACAAAATTTCAGGTTGTTTTTTATCTCACAAAAGAATATTTTAATTCGTCACTTTCTTACATTCAGTTTTTCTCCTCTCTCTCTCGCGTACTCTTCAAGTCAGCTGCTTCTGTATCGTTTCTCATTTTAATTAATACATTTACTATATTTATTTTGATATTCCTTTTAATAATATTTGTAATGCAATAATATTTTTATCTGTATTATATTTTATTATATATTATTTACTATTACTTTTACTACAATGTACTTTTATCTTATTAAGTAACTGTTATCTTATTAAAATCGAACCAATGGGCATCCTAATATTTATTTTTGTATCAATGTTATTTTTATTATTATGCATTAGTATTCTTTTTTTCTCAAAATTTTTATTTTTTAAATTTTGTTTCATACTTACAGATAATCCTATATAACTCTAATGTACAATAATACATAAGTCTGAATGTTTTTCGTTTGTATTTGTTTTTTGATATATCAAAAGACAAAATCAAGAAAGATTGAATCGTCGCGAAAAGAGAGAAGAACTATGAAAATAACTGATATGTGTTAATTCATACAAACATTACGAGTATATATAGACTTACGATCATTTTGTTCCGTCATCAACAACCCCCGATACCGAAGTGGTGCGTTACGAGCCAGGCGGCAGTTAATTTTATAAGCTCTTGAAGAGAATTGTATACTCGATGGTATACGTATAGTGCTGACGTTACAATGGTAACCGAATGTCAGCGCTTTGGCTCACGGAAAACATTTTAATGTCAATAGCGCGCTCTTCCTCGGTTGCGGAACCAGCTTGACGCTTGACCTCGCGCGTGTACTCCGCCTCGACCTCATAATGCGTTTTACGCTTATGTGCGAGGCACATATTACATCTAGGGTATTAACTTACCCCAGAAGCAGATGTGACTGGCGCACATGTTCTTCAATAAGCGCGACAGTCGCCTTGATTTCCAGGCAACCCGGCCAATTGCACTTGAAGACCACTGCCGCATTCGCCTGAAAACAGAAAGATGATAGCCGTTAACGATCATGGACACGAATTCAATAAGACTTATAGCAGCAGCATGAGAACTTCACGAAAGGGAAAAGGATGTATGTGTGTTTGTACGTGTGAGCGGCTACGATTTATTTCAGCAAACATTCTGTTCTACGTCGTTCCGTAATGCAACCAATCGGCACTGCACCGTGATGCAACTCGCGCTGACAGAAGGACTGCTTTAATCATCGAATTGAATAGACAGTTTTCATCGATTGAAACACCATCCATGTAACAGTTTCCAATGATCCAAAAATAAATTGAATAAATAAATAAATTTTGCTATTAAAGCGATTTTAATATTTTTCACTGATATAGCCCGCGCGTTTGCTAATTAAAGCAAACGCGTTTGATCGTTAATTTTACCACGAACATCAATATGCTGTAGAATTCACGAAGCTCCTGCCTATCATTCTTTAGAATCCTTTTACTATACATTCATTAGGTACTCCTTTTTGTATCTCGCAATCGTCATTAAATGGAACCATGAATCGTTACGTGCGTGATCGCAGGTGAGACGTCGTATCGCTAATCTATAATAAGAGTCCGAACATCTTAAGACGGCCCTGCGAGACGGAGTCACGCCAAGCCGAGTCGTCAGAGAGGAAAATCGATGCCGCGCGGCAGCCGCGCCGCGCGCACGTTTCTTTGTTTACATCGGCCGGCCGGTAGCGGCGGAGGCACCGCGTTGCGCCGCGCTGCATCGCGCCGGTCATAACGTTACGGTCACGTGGTATTGATCGCAGGAGAGCGAGGAATACAAGCCCACGCGGTCCGCGATGATCGCGTGTTTGAGCGCGAAGGACGGCGCGGCGCGGCGCGGCGTCTCTCACGAGTCCTCTCCCCGTCCGCGCTCACGTTCCTCACCCGCGTGTAATCGTCCTCTATCCGTATAGTAACGATTACCCCGCGCGGATGATACCCAGATCTCGCTTATCCCCGAGCGAGCATCCAACGCGGATAGAATGACAATTGCGTTTGCTCCGCTCAAGGGGAGAGATTCGGAGTACTATATATTTACAAACGGATTAGTCTTAGCTTTGAATCATTCGATCGGATTTTCAGCAGCAACCAGTGCTGCAAAGAGTTAAATGTGAATAGGGTAAATCGAAGCGCGCGCTGCCTTGGAATAAACATCGAGTCGGATTTCGATGTTTTATTAAACAGACGGGGAAAAGTGTTACATTTCTACGTTTTATTTCTAACAAAGGACCCTGAAAATCGATCTCGCCACCTCCCTGCAGTTTTCGTACGCGTCGAATTTAAATAGATTTAGAGATGTTATTGATAAGCAGCTTCATAATCCGGATATGACTATAATTACTTGTTAACGGTTTTACAATCATCCCGGCGAGGGCACACGCGACGCGTACATTTTCCAACGTAACGGCCTGAACCAAGAAGACAATCATGAGCTCGTTAACACGCCACACAGTGTCGGACGCCCCTTCAAAGCATTCCGGATTAATAAGCCGTCGGACTACGGCGAAAATAATTCCTTTAAGTACGCATTCGCGCGATAGCACATCGCCGGGCCGTTCGGTCTAAGCTAATGAGCGCATGAATATTTACGAGTGACTTTAACGACTGCACTTAAGACACGATCTTGGAAACCGCATCGCACGCCACACCACCGCCGTCGATCGCTTTTCCTCAATTTTGCGCGACTCTCGGCTTACCACGCTCGCCATTAACGCTCGCCTTTTTCGATTCTCACGCGCGGCATACCGGGTGGCAGCAGCACGACGTCGACCGACGAGATGACAGTCACGGGAGAGAGAGAGAGAGAGAGAGAGTGCGATGAGCTGATAAGCGTTCAGAAGCGTATTGACAGAAAGGCGCGCGCGTGATAAGCGGGATTGCGCCGTTCGGTTTGCATAGAGAGGCTACCGCGTTTCGGCGGGTCTTAAGGGGCTTCGCTAGTGCAGTGACATCAGCTCCGAAACGGTACACACCGGGGAGATACACCGGTGCGCGCGGTGTATACCGGGTGGCGAAAGGCCGGCGACCGGAAGCGCCCGCGTATGATATACGGCGCGTATATCGATACGTCTGAAAGAGAGACGCGTCCGCAGGCGGGAAGAGGCTTTTTCGACGATTTCGAATACACCTCTCTCGGTGATGTACGTGACGTTATCGTTCGAAACGGTACACGGTGGGTACACGCCGGAACGGCGTGCGCCGCGAGCGGCTCAGCCATTGCCGAGGTCACAGACCTTCTATGCCGGTCGGCAGGCAACGCTCTCCCTTTGCCTTGCCTTGCCTTGCCTCATGCCTCTCGGCGCGTTGGTTTGGCGTGCTCCGGAGAACTTCGCAGCAGTTCCTCTCTACTACTCCCTCCCTCCCCCGCCCTC